CACTTGTCCCCACTCCCCTGTTCCCAGCAGCTTTCCCCCGGCCCTAGCTTTCCTCAGTGGCCCTCTAAGACCCTGAGCCTCCAGCCACCCTGGGCTCCTCTACACGCACTACTTCTGTCACCATCTTTGCCCTTGGGTCAGCTCCATTACTCTTTAGCCTGGACAGTGTCCACTCCTTCTTCAGAGGCTGCTGTGGTTCCTTAATCGCCTGAGGAGCTTCCAGGAAAGCTAGGGCCCCACCAGGGAGCCTGAGTTCCTGGAGATCTTTTATGTTCCTCTTAGCGGCCCTCCTTCCCTTTCCCATGGGTTTCGAGAGCTCTGTCCATGCCCTTCTGCCTCACCACACCCACACCGGGAGCTGGAGTTGGCTTCCCACCCATCGATGTGAAGCGTGAGACCGCCAGCCCATTGTTCGTTCGCCCTTGGTGTCCCCTGTCAGAGCCCCGCCCCAGCTCACCTCTCTACAGCAAAGGGCGACAGCCTGTGTCCTCCCTGGAGGTTGTTCAGTCACCGAGCCTGTGTTCCTCCTCCAGAACATTCCCCAGCTGCCCACCCATTTCCCCTTCTCCATGGCTGGGCACATGTGGTTTGCTGCTGCAAACAGGGGCCTCTGGCTGCCTCTTGCATCTAATGAAAACTCATCGGGGGCTCTGAGTCGCTCCCCCATCTGTCTCTGAGCCATTTCTTCCCAGCCCCCAGCCTGCTGTCTGCACAGCTGCTCACTGTCTTCCCTCCCTCCAGTCTCCAGAGCCTCCAACTTTCTGTGTGCTGGGTCCCTCCACCTTAGGGTGCCCCACTGTTCCCTCTGGGCAGTTGAGTCCATGGGCACGGAACTCGCCTGCCTCTGCCTTTGGAGTGCCTGGGCCCAGGAGATGTGTGCTTGAGGATGTGCACTGTGAGTCCAGACTGCTGTGTGAATTGGACTGCTGCCATTGCTAGGGTTGTTTTCGGCCACCCAACTCCACTCAGTAGTTCCAGGCACAGCTCTGTACCCTCGAAGCCCTTTCTTAGAAGCACTGTGAGCTACTTTGCAAGGACCCGGAGACAAACACATTTATGCTCCCCTTCCTTACATGGCTGTTCCAGTGCTCTTTACTTAGTTCCATTTTTCTAACAGGCTTTAAGTTAACTGCAAGTTCATCACATCCTCAGATAAGCTTCCAAGTCCTGCTGCTGGGACTCCAAAGCCCTCCCGAAGCCCTGGCTCTCAGACCCAGGGGTTCACAGGAGTCAGAATCCAGCTCTGTTCTCCTAGAAACCCGGGAGCAAAGTGCGGGAGGCTGCAGCCGCCTCCGCCCGCCTTGGGGTTGGCATTGGCACAGCGACTTCGGGGCAGGACGGGGGCGTTGCAGTGGATTCCTGGCTCCCTGCGTGCAGCTCCCACGGAGGAGTGGGTGGCCAGCAATTTCAAGTCCTTTTCTCCTCTCCCTACCAGAGAGGCTCGGCTCTCCATAGCTCACACGAATGAGTGGACCATTTGGTTATAAGCTTATGATTCGCCCATCACCCCCAGGAACGCTGTTAAAACGGCTTTTGTCCTTCTGAAAACCTGTGCAGCCGAGTGTGCTTAGAGTTTACAAAGGAGCATAAAGGCTCCCCGGGTCGTGTGGGGAGGACCGGGCACTACACATGGTTTCCTTTGTCTGGCTTTCCAAGACTCTCGTAGGACAAATGGGATTAAATGTAGCACTTTCTTTTCTCCACAGCCCCCTGAGCCTCACCCCCTTTGGGACCTTTTACTCTGCACGCAGCCCTGGAGACCTCTGCCCTCGGGTGACTGCGACATCCAGAAATTCCTCTTTGCCCCAGCCCTGGCAAGGACTAATTGCTACCATCAGGAAAGCGAGGGCCAGCCTGCGGAGGCCATGCTACCAGTATCGGGCACCCAGCTCCTGCTTCTGTACCCTGCTGTCCTCCCAGAGGCTCCCCCACCGTGGGGCTTCTGGGCCACACTCCAAGCAGTGCCCTCTCCTGCATCACTTTGTCCTGGGCCCCTCTGCTACGCTCCTGAATTTCCTAAGGGGCAGTTTCAAGTTCACAGGAGAACCGCAAGTGAGACAGGAAGTAGCTTTACCAAGCACCTAGCAAATGCCAAGTGCCCTGCTAGGTGCCATCATATGGACTGCACTGCCATTCAGTTGTCACAGCGGCCCATAAAGGGCTGCTAGAATCCCTGTTTTGTGTTTCACTCAGCAAAACCCCAGCAGCTCAACCCAAGGAGGCTCCGTTCTCCTTTGGATTTGCATCCGCCGTGCCTGTGCGCAGGTTGGACATTCAGACACCAGGCCACAGGGGCTCTGCCTTCACTAGCGGCCCTGCCTGGTGGCCATGGGTGGTCACTCGTCACAGTGAGAGAAAACAGTGTGGGCTGACACCCAGACTTGGCGGAATCGCTGGGGCTCTCCTCTGCCACCTGCAGTACTCCTGTGGCCCCATGTGACTCACTGCAGGGGCACAGCAGAGTTGGGACAGCAGATGCACCGTTGAGTGAGCAGCTGTGGCCCCACCAGGTTGTGGAAATGTACCGCGGAGTAGCTACCCTGCTTTAGATGAGCGAATCGGCTTTTTTTGGCCCGCAGAGAACTCTACTGTGGGCTCACACCTTAGCAATTTGCCTGGGCCTCCATTTGGCCACTTCTGTGGGTCCCATCCGTGAATATTCTATGAACGCTTCTTTAGTGTACAGGGTGCTGATGCTGAGAGGCCAACAGGATGTTTACAGCCTCAGAGGGGAAGTCAGGCCCACTACAGTAAGCGTCACTTTAATAAAATGCAGATTTTGATCAATGGAACAAGAAGACTACCAAGTGCTTTGGGACTTCAGAGGAAACAGCCATTTCCTTCCGGGAGCCTGGAAGGGACTGAGAGGGGATTTGTATCTTTCAATGGGTCTTTCAGGATTGATCAGAATTTCCCTGAAGGTTAGGGTTGTGGATGGCACCTGGGGGACATTCCGTGGCCCTTCGCCGGCCGGGCATCTCCACCCTGGACACCACAGCGGGACACCCTAGACCCTGCTAGGGACAGCAGCCCTCAGAATATTAACCACTGACTTTTTTCCTCCTCCTCCCTTTGGAAATCTCTCGTCTGCACGAACATATTTATTTTCCTTTTACCTTGGGGTTTGTAATCAAACATGAATTTAATCTGCCTAAACACACATCACAGAAGCCTGTAGTCAGTTAGACATTTACACTCCCTCTGTTTTTGGTGTGTTCATTTCTCCTCTTTGAAACAAATGTTCTGGCAAATGAATGCAACTTCAGGACAAAGGATACAGACCAGAGCCCAGCTCCATGGGGTGTCTGGTCCAGTCATAAGGCCTGGCCCTGGGAATTCACACCCCTGCCAGGACCAAAGGGCTCCTTCCTGTGACTTGCTGTGTGCCCCAGAGAACTTACCCAGCTTCTCTGCACTTGAGTTTCTTGGTTAAGTAGCAAAGACTATTTCTGGATTATTTGATCCTTTCTTGAGCAAATATTGATCGAGTACCTCCTCCAAACCAGGAAATGTACCAGTCACAAATGACCTCAGTGAAAGCATTTTCTTCACCAGCAAAGAAAGGAGGCAGGGAAGGAAACAAATGAGTAAGAACTGCGTGCCTACTGTGCGCCGCGACATCTGCTGAGGCCTCCCACACGCGTGTGGATGCTGCACGACTCCCTCGAGGCAGGGATTTCCCACACTCTGCAGTGAAGAAGCCAAGGGACACCCACAGTACCTTGCAGGGTGGCATTTAGCTGTTGAGCAGCAGAGCCAAGCTGCCAGCTTTGCAAACTGTTGGAGGCGAGGCCCACGCCGATTCGGCAGCGCCGTGGCGCGAGGCACTGCCAGCAGAAGTCCCGCTGCTGACGGTGCTTTTCTTCTGAGCCCCCGGAGCCTCCGCAGGGACGCTCATTAGCCTTTGCAGGTAAGAAAGAGCAATTTTGCAGCTCTCTTGATACATGTGCTGGGTGCCTCTCAGTTAGGAAGGGAGGACACCTGCCATTTCACCCCCACCCCAGCTTTCTGGGGCCCCCTGGGCCCCCTGCACGGTGCTGTGTCTGCTGGTGTCCCTGGAGGCTCCGCTGAGTCACCATTTGCTCACTCCCTCTTAATTATTCACAATTACCTAAGTTCTCAGCCCTACAATAAGCAAGGCACAGGGTAGCATTTTCTAGACATATGTGTTTAGGGTTGCTGGCACATTTGTAAACTTATTAGTGCCTGTGCATACCATATCATTAAGATCAAATTATCTACGAGTTTTAAATAGGGCCTATTGCTACTGTGCTGGTGGAAAGCCTCAGGAAA